AACGTCCAGATAAGGAATGTCGGTAACACTAACATATGGCGATGAACCTCGTCGTTGTTCACCCTATATTTCCAACAGACAGACAAGCGGTGAGTTGAATGCATACATGATTCCATAAATCATCACCTTTATCGTCGTACAACAAAATACAGACAAGCAAAATTAACTGATCGCTGACAAATGTGCACTGCAAACAAAGATAGTGGTAGTATGTAAATCGGACAGGGATTGAGGAAGAGGGAAGGAGGTAAACCTCTATGGTCAGCACATAGGATACACAATCTAAATGAGCATACATACCGTTTCAAGCACTCGGACCTGATACTAAATGACAAAAAGAACGCCACTGCCGTCGGGTAGCCACCAAATCCCTCAATGTTTGAAATCAACCAGTAGCAGAGTTTTTCGGACCTGAAACTGCAAGGCTCGGGGAAACTACTCTGCCCTATCACTTGGTGCATCTCTTCATGTCTCGTCCGCACGTCATCCGTTGACCTCCACGGGGTTTCCTCTAACCCGATTAAAGCGCGGTGCGGCAGACGACCGCTTGGGAATACGCAATACTCGCCCTAGGCAGCGAAGCCTACTGCTTTGAATTCGATGAATTGGCAGGTTTTTCCCTTATAAACTCAAATACACGATGACCTACTTTCAGATTCCTAACCCGTTCGCTTCATTTCACGTGGGCTAAACTGCGTAAATACCGATAGTCAATGGATACTTTCTAATCGTCAATTCAAGGTCTCAAAACTACCACCGACAACGAACAGTACAGCAATATACATGATCTTCCAACTGCAGTGAAACATCGCGTCTACGACAACGGCATTTTAGTCATGCGTACGATGCTCCAGTCTTGGAAATGTGGACGGCTTCCTCGTTTGCTGTGCTACCGTCGTTGGTCACATCACTGTCCAAGTATGAAAACCACTGTTCGCAAAACGATGGTTTCCCGCACAGAACACCTAACGTTCAAATGGCAGAATTCACAGAATCTACATAAACTTACTAGACGCTAGTTGGACTACTTTTGCGGACACGGCAACCCGTTTGTGAACGCCAACTCATCGCGAGGTTCGCATTGGAACGTGAGATGCGGTACAAGGGCGGGATTAAAATAAAACACATGTCGGAGGCGAATAGCAACAAATGCAATCTTTTCCGATCCGATTATGGTATACAAGTTCACCAAAATTGAATTGAACTACTCACACTCTCCTCTCGCTTTTCGGGGGACCAATGGGGTAGATGGTTGAATTGTGCAAGTGTAGATAAAATAGCCGCATAGAATTTATTGCACATAGTCAGCATGTAAACCAAAGCGTTGTCTATGTTTCGTGCAACAGGTTGTGCGATGATGATGACCACATCAGGCGTCAGGTGATGTGTGGCACCTAGTTTAATGACCGACTGATGACTATCCTGTTCGCATCTCCTAAGCAAACCTTGTTCTCGCCTTATCGAACCGAGATACTGCGGTTTGTGTGTATTGTCACACCAGGAACTGTGAGAGCGCGCACACACACACACACACACACACACACACATTCCAGTGTTGGTTGACGCATCGGATACAAATTGTAAGATTGCGCACATGATCATCGATTCGGTCAACTTGGAAATTCACAATCGAATTGCCTAGGCTGAGAAAAATTTGAATACAGACGACACACTATGAGGTCTGACATATCTATTTATCTATATAGACCGTGAGGAAAACTACCTTCCTCAAGATCCGAGTCGGAGTGATCGACCGGGGTCACCTATATACGTGGGACGGTGATCCGTGATTCAGCAACAACAACAGTCAGATAAGTGAACTGGTCAGATCAAACGTGTGGCGCTATTTCGATCGCTGTGATGTTAGTGACCTGAAATCAGGTGACTTTGAATTCAACAAATAAAGAAGCTACAGGAGGTTGTATAAACGAATTTGTTCCCTACAGCCGAGAAAGTGAGAGGAGATTTAGTGTCCGAGGAATAACGGCCAGTATCGCATTAATCTTTTTCCTCACAACCTTGGCCTTCGGGAGGAAAAGTCATCTAATAAGTAGTATGTGAACGACAGGACAAAATTTCCCTGGAAGAATACGATCGGCTTTGCTGTTCTTGGCGCTCATCAGAGATGTGTATCCCGTAATCTTTTGTCTTTTCAGTCAAAACTTGTACCCAGGAAGCGTATTTTCGTCATAGCAACCCTTGTTTGCGACACCAGATGAAATTATTTTTGAACACATCTCTCCGGATCAGTACTTTGAGGAGTCAAGAATTACAGGGAAATCTTATCGATTAATTCCCAAACCACTTACTGTAAAATATACACAGATATCACATGACAGTTCATAATGCGCGGTGATTGGGGTGAGGTTGATGCAGGGGAAGTTCTAATCGTTTTAACGACACAAGTAGTGAATAAGACAGTGACAAAAAGAAATAATAACGTTATGCCAGATGGAACTTTATTCCTAATACTCAGTGGTCTGCTTATTCGAGGGCCCACCTCTAGTGGGCATAGTCGACAACATCGCTGGAAACTTCGGTGGATCTTTACGGGTGAGTTTCTTTCTCTCAAGTACCGAATTAATGCCAATATCGGTGAAACAGAAGCATTTTCCTGCCTGATTAATTCGCGTTACAAAATATCCGGTTACACTGCAGGCTTTAATCTTTCAGCCTCAGAGTTTGTAATACCTGGAACTCTTTTCCACCTCAAGTTGTTTGCGCATCAACCGTCGATTCATTCAAGTCATGGCTTGATGAATCATTGAAAAACCAAAACACTATTCAGGAGCAGTGAGTGAACGTTATAATTTGCTATTTACTTATACTAACAATCGAAGCCAGTGTGTACGGATCCTTTAGGATCCAATAAGCATCAGCTTTGTTTTTTATCGAGAATAAAAATTTGATATTGAATTTGCCGAGGTTACTCGTCATTAGCCACAGGTGCTGTAACTAGCCACCGAAGTGGAAATTAATAAAGCCACGCAAAGCGACTCAGTGTTGAAAATGTCAACCAGTTTCCTCAGACGCCTTTGTCGACAACGAACTTTGGCAAACCGATCGGCGTGAACATGCGCCGTCAGGTGTCAATGAGTGTGTGCTGAGTGACTCAACGTATCCAAAAGGGCCCCAACAGAATGCGCTGCTGCCAAACTATCCGATCGAACACCCAGGTCTCAACACCATGAAGACCTCGAGTTCAGAGTAACGTCGACTGGACGAAACTAGACTGAGTACTTGCAGAACTGGGCCAGCTGCGCAATGGTACCGAACGTGCCAACAAAAACCAGTGTATTGATAAAGCACATGAGTGGAATCATTTCGAGTCACCGAATACAATCTATAGTCAGAGGGCACGTATGTCAGAAACAAACACAGTGGTCATCTGAATGATTAGGCTTATTACAATTGTAAAAAGAAATAATTATAATAGCCTCAATATTTGAAAATTAAAGAAAACTGATCTTCCACGCAAAAAAACGAAACTCTGTATCTCAATTTGTTTTTAGTGCGTACGAGACCACACCCATTACTCAGAATGTCTTAATAGTTGTCCGAAATTAAAATGACAGGTAGAAATCACCTAGCAACAATGCTAGTCCAGAACACACGTAAATGAGAATGTGGTAATTAAGGGTTACCACATTCGCATCAACGGACGACTTTGGGAAGAAGTAGCACGAGAACACATTTCAACCGCTTATCTCCCACATTCCGTCGTGTACAGAGTGAACAAAACAAGAACTGAAAAACGAAGAAGCAATGTGTAACTGTCACTGTTCTGGGTGCATCCAATCATCGATCGAACCCCCTTTCAGAAAGTTATACCGTTGAGTATTCAATAAAAAAGTGAAAACGAAAAAGAAAACATTTATGAAGCAAGCAGTTTGTAAAGTGGCTGGTTCTGATTTTTTTCTCAATTCATTCGAACAACCAACAAACGAATTGTATAGGGAAGCATATTTGTAAATGATCCGACAAATCAGGGTGGTAATCCTAAGCATTTAGTAATCCGAGTAAGGTGCCGCTCCGGAAAGTTGCTTAATTTTGGGACAAATAATGGGAGCAAGAATAACGCAACACAGCTGAGTGGTCAGAACCTAAACAACCCATGAAGATGGCCGATAATGTTTGAATTTCGTTTTTTGAGAACCATTAACCATGCATTTTCANTGTTGTCTTATGACCGCTGTTGGGATAAAAAAACAGAATGAACATTGGAGTGTTGAGGATCTAGGGAAGTCTTATGCACTGGGATTGTGAGAATAATGAGTAGATGCACGAGTGGCACTGTTTGTGACACTCAGTGTCTCTAACAATCGGTTATCAGTGTCTCTCACCACCGCGTACCGGCTGGCAATGACTTAGTACTTCATTACCTGCAGAGAAACGATGTGAAGGAGAAGGCATGNCCGTTCGGTTCCAACGAAAAGCACCATATCAAGCCACTTTGTTTGAGGTTGCATCGACTGAATCGCTTACATCAAAGGACAGTGCAGACGACGCAGGAAGTAGTTCAGACAAACCGGTAGTCTACGGTGTGGTTTAGTCGCTTCCTCTAACAAACAGATGGATCAGTGATCTGAATTATGAACAAGACACAATTGGAAGTCGAAACCCGGTTTAAATGAATAAGCATTTATGTTCCAGTGAAGAACGCCATTATCTGTTCGAGCGCCGCTGCTGATTATCCGTAACCCCAACCAACACTCCAGTTCAGTTAAACCGCAGATTGTTTACCGACTCCCTATCCACGACGTGGGGACAGTCCATAAAGCACAGTTTGATTAACAGCAGAAGGTGTAATCCTCAAAGTTACGGGGAACTGCTGCTACTCGGTCACGCTAACTGGCACCACGGGCGCTGAGAGTCCCAATGATTTGAACAGAATCCAGGGGGTCCGAAAATTCGAAAAACCCTTTAATGGTATTGTGCAGAGCTAGGTGNCGTTAGCAAATAAAAACAGATTAAATGGCGAACAATGGAAATCGACCTACCTCAAGACATACACGAATTCGTCGTAGTAGAAACTCCAATGTGAAGAACATGAGTGAACCGCCACAAACGGCCGTTGCCACGGGGAGGTACCACTTTTTATATCCGTTCTGGACAATTGCTTCGAATGAAACCAATCGTAACGCCTGAACATATTTATGGGGGAAAAGATGAGGAATAGAAACCCCATGAATAAGCACATTCATCACAAACGCACAACTAAATAGTGCGGTTTGAAGAACACGCGGTCAACCAATAGTTTAGTAAGCACAACAGATTTGAAAGAATATTGTTGTCCCACACGTTGTCCGCTTAGGCTCTGATTTGGAGGGCAAACTCTGCGCCCCAGAAGTTTATTTCAACATTTTGATCCCTTTATACTATTTTTTTATTACATCAACATGTGATGAACAGCAGACGAGGCGAACCCCGTAGTCACAAAGATCTGCTGTCCAGTGATGGTAACCGGCAACCTAAGCTCCGGGACTTAGAGTGGCGAACCACATAAGGTCCCGCTAGGTCAGACAGGAAAGCTGCCTACCACCAAAATGAAACCGAGTACGAGGTTAAGAAACTTTTTCACCCGGGTTCACTAAAGACAGTGATGTTCGTCAGGGTTGCCCTCTCTCTCTCTTCTATTTAAATTTATTACACATGTAAACATGGAAGCAGCCCCTATCCTAGTGTGAGGATAGCGTCAACGATAGGCTCTCAGATGGCAGATTGTCTGATTCGGAGTATGCAGACAGCACTGAACTGATAAGTGAAGATCCCGATAAGTTGTAGACGTTTCTGGACGTTTCGGATGCAAGTGCAACCATATTCAAAGTGTGAACTGTTGCTACAATACTGAGTGGTTCAGCTTCCAGTTTCAGTTCAAATAAAAAAGAGATACCGTGCAAATCTGACTTAACCGGGACAAGGAGGGTATGCGATATATCACTTATCACGTCTTTAGGCAACCGTCGACAGATTGAGTAATGCAGCACCCGCAACCAGGGACTAAACAATTTTGATTAAT